GAGGAGGCGGCCGGGCCAGGCCCCAGCAAGCTGCATAAAGGAAAAATGCCTCTCCCTGCCTCGCTTGTCCGTGTGGTTATTTGGAGGGGCAGGGCGGTGGGTTGCAGCCTTGGGAGATGCTGGGATGAAAGGGATGAGTCCTCATCCTTTGGCCACCAAGGCCCCCCCATGGGAAGTCCCACAGGGCTTGGGGACATCCAGAGAGCCCCTAAGAGGAGCTGGCATTTCCTCTGGTCTTTGTCAGAGCACAACAGTGCTCGAGTAGCACAAAGCTGACATTTCTAACAGAATTCCTCCCCATGTAGTAGCTTTTAATGTTCTAGTATAGAAAAGTGGTGCTTAATGTAAGACCCATCAAAGACCGGAAGGGTAAGAAGGCACCGAGAGGAGAAGGATGAGCCCGGAGTGCAGATCCAGGGGAACGGCGAGACACGGACACACGGCCGGCGCTGGGGGGGACGACAGAAAGCAAAGGGGAACTTGTCCAATTTTTATTTACAAAGATGGGGCGTTTGACTGCGCATGGAGTGAGGATTCAGTGGCACAAGTACTTCATCCCTCTTCTCTTTTACTCATCTCTGAGTTTCAACCACAACCAACCACACACACATACACACACTTACAGCAGAGTAAAGTTAAAAATAGCCATTGAAGAATTCAGTCGAAAAATACCACAGAAATCACTGAGCATTTGGCAATTCTCTCCCCTGAAGTCCTTGGCATCCCGAGGCAACCAAAGCCCAGGCTTCGAGTCCAGCCAGGGCGTATTTGACAGGGGTTTCTGCATTTAGAAGTTCTCGGAGCTGATGCTCTGGCTCTCCTCGTGCAGCTGGGACACTGTGGTGTCCCCGGGCGAAGCCACGTTTAAGTACCCGATCTCAGAAGGCTGCGAAGGAGACAAGCAAAAGGAGGACTCCTGGCTTGCAGCTCCTCCTTCGGGCCCGGCGTCTCGCGCAGCCCTCAGGGTGCTGAGGGAGTCTGGCAGTTCCCGGGGCGGGAAGCTGAAAAAGAGACGTCCTCGCTTAAGCCGTTCTGCAAATCGTGTCCCTCGTCTGCCACCTGTGCAGCCTCCTCCCCGCAGCCCCGCGGGGCTACGGGGACGCGTTTCACTTGAGCTAAAGCTCAGCGGCTTCCTCGGGTGTCCCCATGTCCCCCCCAGCGCACTGTGACTGGGGACACTGTCCCAAGTAGAGCCCAGGGCTGCAGCCTCCTCTTTGCCCTGGCGGGCTCGGCTCCCTCGGGCCAGTTTTGGAGCTCCGTGTGCTGGAGCTCCTGGCTCCAGCGGAGGCTGGACGG